GTTACATTAGCTTGTATCACTCAGATGAAACAGGCAGAAGAGCAAGAGTCACGGAGACAGAAGCAGCTTGGTATTGCTGGCTTTGAAGGTAGAGGGATGGGTCCTGTCCTGCGTTACAAGCTGGACAAGGCTGAAAAACAGGTTCTCTACTGGGACCCCCAGAAGGATTCTTGCTGGTTGATACCTTGGTTTTATCCCAGTGCGGTCTATTTCAGACTTCCAGAGCACTAACATAATGAATTGGTGTTGCATTGGTATGGCCATTTGTTTGCACAGCAATAGACTACGCATCATTTGGGTTACTCTTCTGAGTCCTTTACTTGAACACAGCAAGGCCTTCTGAGAAAGCAGTGCTCAGTTTTAAGACTTCCTTTCCTAGCTTTCCAGAGGAAACACTTGACCCAGCCATAATTCCTCTTCTCTAAATTCACCCTCACCTTCCTCTACAAGTTCTAGAGAATGGGCTCAGAAATTTACCACTGACACCATGTGATGAGACAGACAGACAGATAAACAGACAGACATACACACAAACACATGTATCTGATACGACAACCTCAACAGAACCCTGGTGGTCTTTGATTTTGGGGGGGGGGAAAGATGTCAGTTCTTACCTATTGCCCACTGACAAGTCCCTAGGGGGAAATCCAGCGCAAAGGAAGTCGTGGGTGGTCCACACCCACACTCTCCCGTGGGCTCCATTCCTTATGCACAGATAAAAGGATAAATAGCATTCTTGGCCAAGGAAAACTCAATGTTCTCTGTAAGGCTGAAGCTTTTGTTTGAGACTTTTTGAAATGCATTATCTGACAGAGTTTTTAAATGGTAGTCAGGTCCACCAGCAAATTCCCATTTTGGCTTTTATGTTCTTTAGGTAATTGAAACTGTACCAGTTTCAAACCATTATCTTCACCCAGTCCATCATGACGTTTCGTTCTTGACAATGTCTACAGTTGGCAGAAGTTTCCCGTCACTGGTCCCCTGGAGTCTATGACATATCCAGACCTCTCTTTCTTACCATAGCCCTGATCACTTAAGGACAGACTGCAGTCTCAGGCTGTGGCTGGCTAGGGTTCCAGTGCACAGCTGAAGACTCAGCTGCAATCAGCCTGTTAAGAGGCAGGAAGTGCTCTCCAAGAGATCCCAATACCCACGAGAGCCCCATTCCCAATGCCAAAAACCCATTCCATTTCTCCTGTGTTTAGAAATAACAGCTATCACTTTACAGAAACACTTGACACTCTCTCTGCTCACTCAACACGAAGTTGGTGCTTCATGATTACAGTATAATCATTAATTTACTCTATACACTTTGTGTGTATATATATATATATGTATACACACACACACACACACACACACACAAATTATGTCTATCTCCCAAACCTCATCTCCATCCCAATCTATGGTCTTAATGCTGGTGTCTACCAGAATCATTTGTGGAAACCTGATTACCAACATAACAGATGACATTAGGACACGGAACTGTTGGAAGGGGATTAGGCCATAGAGGGAGCCTTTGCAAAGGAGATTATAAAACAGGTCCCCAGAGAGCTTCCCTGTCCTTTCTACCTCTTGAGGATGCCATGAGGAATACATATATACCAAACACTGGGCCCTCATCAGAAATACTGGAAATACTCTTGCCTTATTTGTAGACTTCCCAGCTTCTGTAGTTGTGTGAGAGAGAAAATACTTGTTTATAGGCAACCCAGTATATGGTATTTTGTCATAGCAGTCTGAATGGACCAAGGTATCATCTGATCAACAGATACATGCTCACATGAACAATGAACCAGATACTTTGTTCAGTAATGGGCATAAGAATGGCAGTCAAAGATCAAAGACATTCTGTCCCACTGGAGAAGGAAAGTAGTCTAACTGTTTAGAGTTTGGACACATATTCTCTAAAGACTTGGTCTTGCCCTGTGGCAGTATTGGGAAGTGGTAAACCTTCAGGAGATGAGGCCTCCTGGATGTTCTATCATGGGTGGTGTGGCCTTGGGAAACAGGAACCTTCCTCTTTCCTCTCCTTTGGTTCTTTCTTGGGCAGAACTCTGTTTCTCTTGTTCCCCACGTGTTATGTCAACACTGCAGCGAAGGCAGAGGCCAGGCATAGATTGAAACCACTGAAACTGGGAGGCAAAACAAACCTTTGATCTTTCTAATATGATTATCCTAGGTGCTTTGTTACAGTAGCTGATCAACTAAATACAAAAGTGAATATCCATACATTAATAAATGATGTTGAATTCATGCTTTAAAAAGTCATAACAAAAGTTCTTTAGATTACTGTGAAGTATAGTAGCAATTGACTGATAGTAGAAAGAATTGATAAGCATGATATTGTAATTATACATGGTTGAATTGGGACAAAGGAGCAGTACAGCTAAATTTGAGAGGAATATTTAAAAATTACAGATAAGAGATGTTCTAGTTATTTAATAAAAATGCTATTATATTATCAACTAAATCTATATTATTTACATACTTGTTAATAAGCTCACGGTGATATTAAAATAAGTGATTAAGTAAATGTGTAAAGAAATTCAAGAAGACATATCTGTGATGGATACAAATCCCAAGTAATGTGTGAGGAAATATCACCCTGAAGGAGTGAAATCCACGCTCCTTCCTGTGTGTGTACTTGTGCGTGCACGGATATGTTCATATGTGTGTATATGTTCATGTTCTACAAGTACTTATTTCCAACCCCTTTTTCTACCTCTGAGCTCCACCCCCACCTTATTTCTGGATTGTTTTTGGAGATAGTCACGCCATAATCACAGGCTGGCCTTGAATCTTGTATGGCCTTGAATGAGCCTCCTGCCTCCCGCCTGGGTGTCTGGGTGCTGAAATTATAGTCCAGTATCACCACCTTAGCCTCCTTTCTTGAGTGTGAGTTGCAAATATTGGCCTCCTCTAAAGAATGGGAATGAGGACAACAGGTGGAGAACACACACTGCCTCCACCAGGCAATGAAGGTTAATCTCAACAGTGGCAGACCCTGTCAACATGCTCCCTGGGCTATGATTGGAAGGAATATACACTTGCTCTGTGCTCTTCCTCTAAAAGTCCCATAACCTCATCTAACCACAAAGGAAGCGTCTGAGATATACCTGTTGAAGACAATCTAACAGAATACTTGACCAGCACAAACAAGAGGTGCCTAAAATACTGCCTCAGCCAAGAGGAGGGTAAAGAGACATGGCTATTAAGCACAATGTTTCCGGAATACCAGAACAGAAAAGAACATTCCGCGGAAATGAAAAAAACCTGAGCAGAGTGTTCCAGACAACATTATAATAGGACAGCAATGGTGGCAACTGGGTATGGGATAGATGGGAACTTTCTATACTAATGTAGTTTTTTTTTTGTTTAAAATTTGAATTTTTAAATGTTGAAAACCCATTAAAAGGAAAGAAACACCCATGAAATGCCAGACTTTCTGTATGGAAATAGTGTGGAAAAGGTTCCCAAGCATTCCTTACAAGTATTCAGATTAGTGGAGCCCACAAAAAGCTAAGAAGTGAAAGAGAACATTCTGCCCATTGAGTAAGCCTTTGCTTGCTTCTGAGTTCTTGACAATTTCAAACAGCGCCTATTGTTTCTTCTTTGATGACTGAACGGGAATAACAGAGGAAAAACTATTTCTGTTTTTTTTAATGAGCAATTTTACACCACAGTTCACACTCCTGTTAAAGTGAGATTTAAGAGCTCAGAGGAACACACAACTTTGCCAGCAGGGTTTTGTTAACTTCCTCCAGATCCCAGCTTTCTTGCTCATTTTCATTGTGAGTATGTTACCTCTCAACCCCCGTGTGTTCCGTTTGATACCAGCTGATATTTCAAAATGCATAAAGGTTTCACTGTGAATCTTCAGCTTCCTGGTTTGCCATGTCTTCCCTGAGACAGCAGGCACTCTGATTGACACACCGCTTTGTGAGCTCCCACCACTTTGGGCTGGGGTTAAGGGAGTTTGAGCAAAAGCCTTAGTGTGGCAGCGTTAAGACATTCATCAGGCAAAATAATTTATTGTGAGTATTGTGATTAGAACTTGAAGGTCAACAAAAACACGTCTCCCCTCCTCAAAGGAAACAAAACCAAACAAAAGGAAACATGTGGGGTATTAAAAAACAAAACTAACAAAAAGTTAAAAAAAAAAAAAGAATAACACCAAGACCATGTCACTTAAAATGTATCCTTATTTTCTCCATTTTCCTAAAAAGTTAACGCGAAGAAAACAAAATCAAATTTCAAATCACATGAGTCCGCTATTCGTGCAAATCCATTTTAAAAGCATCCAGAGAAACTGGCTTTGGGACATCTCCCTGCTACACCAGCTGCCAGCTCACTCATTCATCTCCTGAGCCTTTCGAACAATCGTCCCGCTGGCCGGATGTCCCCTGAGGACACGGCAGCTGGCTAGAGTGGCCAGACAAGACTTCTCTAACTAGATTTTGCAGGCGGAGAGGCTAAAAGCTACCTCTGGGGCTCAGCAGCCTCGAACTTTTGCTCACCCTGGCCCCTAAAGTGTTTCACAAACACCTTCCCTGCACAGTCGGGACTCCACCACTGACCACTTGGCCGCTGGTACTTAAGAGTGCCCTGCGCCAATCCCGGATGCCATCTTTCTTGGGCTTTTTGCATCTTGAATACTTTATGAGTTTTGCATTCTGATCACGTCCTTGTGTCTGTGAAAACTTACCCCAACTTTACAAGATGAGAATCTTCTAGTAGGGACCCTTAATTTTCTTCAACTTAAACTGGCAAAACCTGACACTAACTTTTTACAAGACACTCAAGACTTCAGTCTCCCCGCCCAGAGCCTTTCTGTATCCGGATTACCCTTCGTGCTCCCAGAGTGTAAAACCTGGTGCCCCGTGGCAGAGCCCCAGCCCTGAGCGTCCCCGCTTGCCGGCAAGTGCCCAGAAGGCTGGTATAGCGGGACTCGAGGGTGAGTAAGAGGGTGGCGGGGTTGAGGTACCCCAGAGACTTACAGTCCAGGGCGACCATTAAGTAGTGCAGCAGCAGCAGCATCAGGAGGCCTTGGGGGCTCCTCGCCATCTACGCGGGCGCCAGCTGACTGCGTAGCCGAGGGTCCCCCTGCTGGAGCGTGACAGCCGCGCCGGCCCCCAGCACTTGGCGGGGCGGCGGAGCAGCAGAGGTCCGGGAGAGGTGGAGGCAGAGGGGCGGGTCCTGTCGCGATGTCAGTCTCTGTGGTCGGGTTGTCTCCACTGGCTTCCCTGTGGCAGGTCTTCTGGCCCTGGGACGCCGGGTCAGGGACTTTTCCTCTTTTTAAGGATGGGGGGGGGGGGGGGCTTGAGGAGAGGGCGTGGACGCGGGGCGTGGTGTCCGCAGGGTCCTAAGGGAGGGGTGGCTGAAGGCTGGTGCTGGAAGGAGAGTCCGGCAGGTCGGTCGGCCCCCTCCCCCAGGCTGATCCGCTTTGTGTCTGGTCCCGCGCTGGGTTGCCAGCTGTCCCCAGGGCGAGGAGATGGGGGCGGGAGAGCGCAGCCGGGTGGGATGGGCACCGTTGTGTGTGTGTGTTGTTGGGGGTGTGGTTGGCTCGATCTGTCTCGCCACGTTTCTTTTCTTCTCTTGTGTAGAAAACTTCGTTTTCGGTGTTTTGTCTAGGGTGGGAGATTTTTGGAAATTTTCTACCTAGCAGACAAAACCGTTGGGAAAGCGCTCCTAAATATTGGTTCGTGAGTTCTGCCTTGGACTCTAGATAGGAGGAGAAAAGCCAGCTTTCATTTGTGCTGCAAGTCAGGTCCCAGATTTTATCAGGGGCCCCTCCCGCCCCTCCCGCCCCCCCCCACTAAAGAGTTAAGGTGTGTTCTGAGTTCTTGACTTTTCCCGTCGTCATTTGGAAGTTCATCTGGCCGTGTGAAATATTTATCTTGTTTCTTTCCCGTTATGTAAGTGCCGCCTGTGGAGTTTTCCACATGTTAAAACTCTACAGCTGCCCTTTTGTCAGGTTTATTTTTGGTCTCCTGTGCTTTTAAAAGGGAAATCCATTATGAATGCTGTAGTGCGTGCTGTAAAATTGACCCGCACTTCGGAAGCGCGCACTTGCAAAGGAGATGTCCACATTTGCTCTCCAGAACTGATGTCTGGGGCATTCAAGAAAATTGACCCGTCAGTGTAAAGGCCATTTCCAGGCGAAGACATTTATATATATATATATATATATATATATATATATATATATATATATATATATATATGTGTGTGTGTGTGTGTGTGTGTGTGTGTGTGTGTGTGTGTGTGTGTGTGAGAGAGAGAGAGTGTGTGTGTGTGTGTGGATAGGTTTAAATAAGGTAAAATATTGAATAAAGTTTTGTGTAGACGGTAGTTGATTTAGTGGAAGACCCCTTACAAAGAACTGAGCCAGCTCAGTGGACAAAGGCTAAGATATACTTATGCAGAGCTCTAAAGAATGAGGCATCTCCTCTGTTGCCTTGGTAACAGTGATGGAAGCTTTGTCCCCTTAGGGAAGGGGAGGGGACATAGGACCCCTGGGGCAAGAAAAGAAAAGTTAAAAAAAAAAAAAACAGTGGCAAAAATGTTGGCGCTGGTAGTCCAAGCTCACAAACAGCAGGAGGGTCATCTCGCTTAAGGGTCATGACCTGTGCTCAGAGGCAGGTTAGGTCACTCATCCTCAACAAGCCAACTAAAAAAAGTCAAATTAGCAGTGGAAGAGTGTGTGTGTGTGTGTGTGTGAGAGAGAGAGAGAGAGAGAGAGAGAGAGAGAGAGGGAGAGGGAGAGGGAGAGGGAGAGGGAGAGGGAGAGGGAGAGGGAAAGGGAGAGGGAGAGAGAGAATGAATAGAGGACCGCTGAACCCCCTAATCTGTCTTTAGGTCCAGAGCCAAAGATATGAAAAACTAAGCACTCCACCTCGAACTCATTGTCTGGGCTTCATTGTCTCATCTTATAGTATGCTATAGTATAGTATGGTATGACACATTGTTACAACTGTATGAAGTCTCTTTCCCGGAGACAAATGGCCCTTCTGGAAGGTGTCTTTTCCTTTTCCCAGCATGGGATTCCTGGGGAAATTCCTATTCCTTTGGCATTTAAAGGATGCAGAAGTCAAAAAGCTGCTTAGGCTGCTTAATCTTTCTGGAAAGTGCCAGTTTTTTTTTTTTTTGTTGTTGTTGTTGTTGTATTATGAGTCAGGGATCACTCAGAGATTCACCTTGACTATGAATAAATTTTAATATGAAGAGGCTTTTTATTTAGGTACTGGCACCCAGTGTGGGGCCAGGACTGTACCTGAGAGTTCTCTCAAGAGGCAGCCCCTAGTCATATCAGCCCAAGGCTTATAATGAAGGCAAAACCCACAAGATTATATGAGTTCTGTCTGTGCTTAGGCAGGGACTAGTTTTAGCATGGATGTCTTGTCATTCTCTTAGTCATCTTTTTGAGCAGAGTTAGCAAGTTTAATTACAAAATCAGAAATAGCAGTTAGTCTTGTGACCCACTATTGTGTTCTGAAAACAGTGAATTTTGCATCATTAGTGTTTCTTTTGGGGGGGGGTTGTTTTTTGAGACAAGGTTTCACTGTAGCTTTGGAGCCTGTCCTGGAACTAGCTCTTGTAGACCAGGCTGGCCTCGAACTCACAGAGATCCATCTGCCTCTGCCTCCCGAGTGCTGGGATTAAGGGCATGCGCCACCACCACCTGGCTGCATCATCAGTCATTTTAAGGATGGTCTTCAACATCTGGGAAAAAAATGGAAGTGGGCTGGCAGGGTCCATTCTGTACAAGTTAGGGGTTACATGTTAGAGGCATGTTTCACTTTTTGCAAAGTAAGACTAAGATGTAAATGTAATGTTTCCCTTATTTGTTTGTTTATGGTTTCTTTGAGATGGGTTTTTTCTGTATAACAGCCCTGGCTGGCATGGAACTCGATTTATAAACCAAGCTGGCCTTGAACTCACAGAGATTTGCCTGCCTCTGCCTCGCGTGCTGGGATTTAAGGTGTGTGCCACCATTACTAACCATCACAATTGTTGGTTTTTCAGACAGGGGCTCTCTACATAGCCCTGGCTGTCCTAGAACTTACTATGCTGACCAGGCTGCCCTACCATGCACCACCACACCTGGCCCAAAATTTTATTACATTTTTACAAGACAAAGCTGTTAGAGGGCAGGGGTGATGCAAGGCTTTAGTCCCAGCACTCTGGTGGCAGAGGCAGGTGGATCTCTGTAAGAAGCCAGCTTGGTCCACAGAGCTAGTTCTAGGACAGCCAAGGCTACACAAAGAAACCTTATCTCAAAAAAAAAAAAAAGCATACTCAGAACTTATTCTATTTAGTTATTGACTCATTTGTTAGAGGCATCTGTCCAGTGGCTACATTGTATCTCCAGGAAGAGCACTGTATAAGACCAATCCTTGCTGTTAAGAAATTCAGTCTCTAGGAGAGAGACAGTTCCGTTTGGACACATTTCTAACATCCCATTGATAACTTTTGGGGTGGGGACAACAGCAGCTGGTTTTATCTCATCTTTCTCAGTGGTAGAGTCTAAAAGTTACAATACTTAATCCTCCCCCAAAGAGAAAATGTTGTTGCTCCCATTTTATAGATGAGGAAAACTAGGTTGAGAGATGCCACAAGGCTCACCTAAGATCAAGGAGAAGGCGATGGTTTCCCAGATGGGGATGAGGTTAGCACTTTGTTATTAGGCCTTGAAATATGGAACATTTGAAAGGAAAGAAACAAAAGATGGGCATTTTCATCAGAGCAGAGAACAGGGTTGATAACTGGAAGATCTAAAACTGGGTTTTGCTTAGGAGAAGCAGGCATTGCGCATTGGCCTATAATTGTAGCTGGACAGAGGACATTAGTGGTGGAGAACAAAAGATTGGGTTACAAATGCCATTCAACACCATATCACTGGCTCTGGACATTACGATACAAAAAATGAGTGCTTTGAAAGCAATGTGGTAAGGGAGGAAACGATTTGCATTAACTAATTAAAGCAATGTCTTGCATATAGTTCACGCTAATTCCTTTTTACAGTTTAGGGTTATTTTTCTGTGTGCTTTCTCTGCATTTTCATCCTGCTTCTTTGTTGCTGTTTTTTGAGACAAGCAAGGTTTTTTTTCTGTGTAGCTCTGGCTGTCCTGGAACCCACTCTGTAGACCAGACTGGCCTCGAGATCAGAGATTCAGAGATATGCCTGCCTCTACCTCCAAGTGCTGGAGTTAAAGAGGTGGGCTGCCACCACACCTGGCTCTCCTCTCCCTTTCACTGTAGCTCTTCACGCTACTTTCCCCCTCCGACTGACAACAGTTACTCTCATGGCTTCTCTTGCCTTCCAGAACCAACTTCTGCCTCAGACTTTCCATCCTGTACCTCTGTTACTGTAATCAGCTTAAGATCCATATTTTAGAACTGCATTGTCCAGTGTAGTGGCCTCTATACTCAAATGATTGCACAGGTTTGAATTTAATTCTATTTAATATTCAGTTCCTCAGTGCCACTTGCCATAGCTGTAGTTCTCAATAGGTGCCCCGAGGAAGGAGCTGCAATATAGAATAACATAATTTCTGTCGTCACAGAATGCAGAGGGTGAGTCGGAGACAAGAGAAACGGAAGTGTTAGCTAAGACTAAAGCCATTATTATGGTCTGTGAAAGGGACGAGGGTGCGGAGTGGTCAGAGCACAGTAAGTGAGAAGTTTGAAAACTCAGTAGGCATTTCACAAACCTGATGAGCAGGACTAGCAGTAGGTAAGTAAGGGTGAGAGGGGCAAGAAGGCAGGGGAGTGGGAACAGAGCTGCAGTGCTCCTGGATAAGAAACACTGCTCTATTCTAATCTCCACATGCACCCCACCTGCCAGACTCACTTTCGCTTAGCGATAAGAACAGGGTTTTTCAAGTAACCACACACGGAGATTTGGTATTTTGGGACTCGTCACCATTTTTTTTTTTTTTATTTTTCCCACCCACTCTAATTCTGAATTCAAATAACGATGAGGAGGTGTGGAGGCACATTTCCTAAAAGCAGCAATGAAGAAAAGGGCTGGGTTTAAACTGAGTGACTTCTCACAGTGTCTCAGATATGGTGTTCCTGTGTTGCATGGGTTATTTTTCCTCTGGGTGTGGAGAAGGTGCTGGGAAGTGTGCCCACGCTGTAATTTAGAGACAAGAGCACAAAACAAGTCTCCATTTCCAGTACCACGTGAATTCTCAGTTATCTCACAGATAAAATTTAACTTTGTATGGAAAAAAAAAAGTCAAGGTCTTCGATTAGTTCCCCCATTGCACGTCGTCTCTTCAGACCATTTTCTGAAGTTTCGAC